TGCCCGTGGATGGCAGACGCCACTGAAAATTACCCCGTTCCTATGTGTGAGCAGTCCAGATCGGTGCGCCTAATGTCACTTCCAGGTATTTACCACAGCAGTTACGTGTCTCTGGTTAGGTTGGCTGTTTTTTCTTATTCTGTTAACTGAACCTCCCTGCTACCAGCCATACAATTAAAAAAAATTAAAAAAAAAAAACAACCAAACCAACAAAAACAGAACCCACAGCTATTAAACAGGAAAACGACAAAACCCTAGGCTTTACCCCCATGTGTAGCCACAGTGCTAACCACAAGGCAGAGAGGAGCCTTGGTGATCACATAGCAGCAATGCTGGGCTCTTCCCCTAACTCTAACACCATCATTTGTAATTGGTTGTTAAACTGAGTTGCTTCTCTAGCTAATAAAAAAAATAAATCCTTTCTCATTCGGCATCACCAAAATGACATTTATTTTATTCAGGATTTTACCTTTCCTGTCCCCTTTCAACACAAAGCAGTCAGCAACAGCACATAAATTTTTATGCCTGCACATTACCAGGCATTGTAGAAAAAGAGAGGTGGCATAGATGATAAAATTGATGTGAAAGTTTTCACCGTGCCCTACCAAAAAGGCGAATAATTCAAAGCAGGTAGTAATGAAAAGTTCCCAAGTCTGTGGCTCCTGTTTGGGGCTTGCCTCCTGGAAGGCCCCACAAAGCTGGCTGTGCCTGCACAACAGTCATTCACTCTCTGCTGAGGAGACTACTAATAAAAAGGGGAGAAGCAAAGATTGTCAGATGTCAGTGTATCAAATAATCGATACTTCCTTTTTTTCCCTTATTCACAAGGTGTAGAGTGGCAGATAAGGATATATACCAGTCACAAACACAGTGGTTAATAAAATCTCATGGTCTCTGTCACTCTGGCCAGCTTTCTGCTACATTTTATAGGTCACGGTCCATGAAATTTCATAGGAACTTTCATATATATTCACTATAGCAAAGTATGACATTTATTTCTTATTAAAACATATAATTTAGGGAGGATGAAGATGCTTTATCCAAAACAACATGCGAGGTAGTCGTTCATATAATGATTTCTCTCTAATGTATCTGCATTTTGGGTTCTCTAATTCTACAAATGGCTTTTTTTTTTTTTTCCTAATGGGAAACAATAAATTAATATGATTTAATAATGATTGTACTATAGGAGGCCAGCATACTCGTTACCTTTAAACTCAGATTACAACCTGTGCTTGTTTTTTGACCTGCTGACCCAGACTGTCACTACAAGGAGCTGTCATATTTAATGACGAGAGACACGAGCAGCAGAGAGTTAATCGTGGTAAGAATCAGTGCCGAGCATTGCATCCCGGTCCCAAACACCAGGCAAGTCAACAGATAACGTCTGGTGGGTGCAGCTTTTATTGGTTTTGGCAGCTGCAGGAGGAGGGAAAGGTGAGCGCGGATCGGAGGTTGAGGAGGATCAAAGGTTGAGAAGAATAACTTGGGAAGTGCCTCTTTTTCTCCATCCCAGTGGTTTTGTAAGAGAATATGCCTGCTTATGTGACATAAATAAAATGTGTTCTTGACGTTTTTGTTGTAGTACATTGTCCCATAGGCCTGATACCTCTTTTGGGTTGTATAGGGCCTGCTAGCTGTGAGCAAAATATTCCATCTGTGTGTTTTTCATATATAGGAATCCCGTGGGGGACATTTGGGAGACAGAGGGTGAAGGAGAGAAAGGAAGAGAAACGCACAAGAGGAGAGCGGAGTGGAATGCTGGATCTGTATCGCTGCTCGGGATGCAAGATAGCTGTGAGCCATCGAAATTGCTGGTTTGCCACAGCTTCAGTGGTGACTTTCCAAGTCTCTTTATCCATTGGTCCATGTTACTGGAAAAGTATTGCCCCACTTCAGTTCAGGAGCGAGCCCTGAATGTGGTCAGGATAGCGTATCCACAGGGGTGGTCATTCTTGCAGCCATAGTGGCATATAGCAGCTCGCGTGACCTGCAACTTCTCTTAATGAAACCAGAGAAGAGCCTGCAATGTGAAAGCCCTCAGGGCTTGTAACCTTACTGAAATATCTGTTTTGGGAAAAATTCTGTAGAGTTTTTTTAGCAGCACAAAATGTGTGAGGGTCTGCAGATAGCTGTAATCATTCCTGGTCACTAAAATC